GGAAGTTGATATCTGTGAGCAGCAGTATGGCTTCATTCCCAGAAAGAGCACTACTGATGCAATTTTTGCTCTGAGAATGTTAATAATAATAATAATTGCATAAGTTTAAAACAATGATCTATAAGAACCATAAAATTCCTGTAAAATAAAAATGAGTCCAAATACAGAGAGCGTAAGATTGCAAAATATAAAATCAGGACGGCCTGTAGGTCTCGTATAGCATTACTGCTAAATATTAAATGCCAAAAGCCCATCTGAATAAATGTTTAATTTAGACTGAGATTGACCATTAACTCCATTATAGACCGAAGCTCAGGGGACAAGGCATTCCAGAGCTTGGGGGCATATACGGCAAAAGAACGGTTTCCCCACTTTTTGTACCTTGCCCATGGGACAACCAGAGACAAGTGCTCAGAGAAACACAGCGCTCTGACCGGGGTATGAATAATTAAAAGATCAGACAAATAAGCCGGAGCAAGGCCATTAATGGCCTTGAACACAAACAGTAAAATTTTTAAATCAATTCTAAACTGTACCGGAAGCCAGTGAGGCAACTGAAGAACCGTGGTGATGTGAGCATTCTCTGGAGTGTTTGACAGTAGGTGAGCAGCCGCGTTTTGTACAAGTTGGAGCCTATGGAGTTGAGACTGACTAATTCCAGTATAGAGGGCATTGCAGTAGTCAAGTCAAGAGCCAATGATCAAAATTGAGGCTGCTATCAAATAACACTCCCAGGTTTTTCACAGTTTGAGTGAATAACGGGGCTGAAGCTGAAGTTAATGGAGAAGTATAGATATGGTCGGAAGGAGCTGCATTGCGTCTTTGTGGATTTAGAGAAATCGTACGACAGAGTGCCGAGAGAGGAGCTATGTCAGGAGTGGCAGAGAAGTACGTCAGAGTAGTTCAGGATATGTATGAGAGGAGTAGTGAGATGTGCTGTAGGTCAGACAGAGGTGTTCAAGCTTGAGTTGGGGCTACATCAAGGATCAGCTTTGAGTCCCTTCTTGTTTGCTATGGTGATGGACAGGTTGACAGATGAGGTCAGACAGGAATCTCCGTGGACAATGATGTTTGCGGATGACATTGTGATCTGTAGTGAGAGCAGAGAGCAGGTGGAGGAACACCTGGAAAGGTGGAGGTCTGCTCTGGAAAGAAGAAGAATATAAGTCAGTCGTAAAAAAGAATACATGTGTATGAATGAGAGGGAGGGAAGTGGAACAGTGAGGTTACAGGGGGCAGAGGTCAAGAAGGTGCAGGAGTTTAAGTATTTGGGGTCAACAGACCAGGGTGATG